CGAGAATTGCATCTCGGAAAGAATCAGCTGCCCTTCTGAAATGTAAACGCGTGCTGTGGCAGTGCCCTGCCACCTCCCCTGTCTAGGGTTGCAGGCAGAGTGCGAGAGCACCTACAGTATGATGTGGCCCCGTTCTTGTGAAGACTGCAAGGCTTAAACCTGAATTGCTGGTAAACGAAGGCAGCTAATAGCTGCTCGAACTTGTCACGCAAGTCCTGCCCATTGGAGGCAGGGATCAGTTGCTCTGCTGCTACGTACTGAAACAAGAGCGCCACTAGGCGCACAACAGAGCAGCGTCAATCAGTACTAGATCCTGTTGATGAAGACATAGGCCACTTTGGGTGGTCGGAAATCACGACGATGCGGGCGTTAGCCTCATCGATAGTGTTCTGTCACCGGCGCCGCATCAGCATCTCGGTGGTGATCCTCAAACAGACTGCGAAGCCGATGCGGCCCCAGCCTCGCGCGGTGGTTGCCACGGCCGTCAGCGCCATCTCGGGCAGTGGCGGCGCGCGACGCGGCAGCTCCAAGTGCTGCCGTGCTCTTACAAGGCGCCGCGAAGCTGGCAGGCTTCGCTTCTCTCTTCAGGAAGAATTGCACCGCCGACAAGACGTTGCCCGCCGAGCCTGCGGGATGGCCCTCTGTCTAAAGCTACTGGAACCAGTCGGCCACCAGCAGGTCCACTACATTCTGAAACAATCTCAGAATGCGCGGCTGAACAAGATAGCGAGACCACCGCCCCACTCTTGCTCAAGATTGTCGACGCGTGGCCTGGGTCTTCTGCTCCGACACTTCTGACTCCTCTCATTGGCATGATGTCTTTCACAGGCCTCGCCCGCCTCCGCGACGGATGATCCGCGGGATCGCGGGCGGCCCCCGTGTAGTCATGCGCTGGGCGGGCAAGAGCAGCCAACATCAAAACACGAATACGTCGAACTGTAACGTGCAGGGTATGGGGCGCCGACCGCCCACGCATGATAACTTCCAGACCAGCGTGAGCCCTCGCCTCAAAATCTGCGATGCGTGAAGCCTGCCCCCACTTCCAGATGGCCGTCACCTTCCGCGTCCAGCGAGCCACGGTGCCAAGGCACCTCGGCCAAAGGTCTGGGCGCATCGCCTCGAGGGTGCTGAACCTGGCGTCACTGCCTCGGGCCTCGGCGCGGCGCCCCAGCCCCTCCGCAATGGCGATGCTGGGGCCCAGGGCGGCGCCCTCCTCAAGGCCGCGCTGGCGGGCGGGAAACCCGGCGTTCTCATCGTCTTGACCCAGACTCGCGGCGGCGCCCTGAATGGCGCTGTCGCCCCTGTCCTCACGCAACTGCCCAACAGAGGGGAACGCGTCCAAGTAACCAGCCTTCACTGTCCAGTGCGTGATCACCCGTAGCAGCGCTGGTATGCCTCCTACCCTCGGAGCCCTGCCTGAGAACATCTTTGAATACCAATTGGGAATTTCGCAGGAGCTCGACGAGGGGGGCACCACAAGGAATGTCGAAAGTTGAAAGGCATGGTCGTGATCGCCTTGCCCCTTCAAGTTATCATCAAGCCAGCGAGAGACCGCTCCAGTGCCAACGGGAACACAGTCTTCCCTGATATCATCCGCCATCATCGTCTCGCCCTGCCCATCGCTCAACCAACTCTCGCCGATCCAGCAAAGACGATCAAAGACACAATGCGTGATGGAACCTGCTGCGGTGAGGACGGGTGCGCGACCCCTGCGCTCTGACAGCAACTTCCGCGTCTCATCGTTCATGGAGGCCGCGTTCTCGAGGAGGGAGATGCTCTCGCAGCACTCGCCCAGAACTTCAGTGAGCAGGAACCCGACGCGACCAAAGTTGGTTCGAGCCAGGGCGTTGCAGGGGCTGCCGGCCACCAGCAGGATCCACGTCGCAAGTGGAACCCTCTCACGAATAGCCACCGTCTCCGCGGAGGCGAATGACTGAACATCACCAGCCTCGAGCACGTTAGGCCGGGCATACTGGGCGACCCGCTTGGCCTCGGCATCGAACTCGGCGGAGACGGAGGGGCAGGCGTGGAGCCCAGCCAGTCGAGCGCTCGACGGGCCCCTCCGATCCCATCACAGAACAAGAGGAGAACCACCTCGTCACGGAAGTCGGCGACGAGCCTCCTGGTGGCAGCTCTGGCGGCAGCCATCCCATCAGGACGCGCGCGCACCGAGCGACAGACGGCTCTTCGCGGCGGGCTGGCGTCGGACAACGTCAGCGCTGACATAAGCTCCTCGCGCACCCTGTCTGGCATTGGCGCGGGCCCGTCGTTGGCCTCGCCGAGGGGCCGGGTCTGCAGCTCGCGAATCACCGCCCGGTACTCACTCCGCGGCGCATTGAAAGCCCCGCAGCGCTGGTGAGCGAGGTCGGCCGCCTCGCTAATGCCCTCTACCTTGAGGCGGTTGGTGTGCCACAAGCCAGTGACCTCGGAGATGTCCAGGCTGTCAATGTAGAACTGCCAGGCTCCCCAAGTTGACGACGAACTGCGACGCTCCTGCCATCTTTCATCAAGGGGTCACCGTGGCAATCCTCGTGCGAAGCGCCGCAGCGCATCAGTCTCACGCCGCCGAGGGAAGCGAGGTCGCTCAGCAGCTCGGGATCTCTGTCCAGGCGCTGCTCGAACATGGCGATGCCCTCCGAGCATGACGAACCAGCCGACCTGCGGAACGGGTTGCTCCACGTGGATGTCTGTAGTCCCTTGTGGCGGGAGCCGCGGCTGATGTAGATCCCATGCATCTCGTCAGCGTTGGCAGCCCCGAGCATGCCCCGCGCGGGCGGGGTCGGCACCGCGGCTAAGCCACCTCGAAGGGCCGCGGGCATTGGCGCGACCCTGCAGATCTCTTCCTCTGCTGCCAGCCGCCGCAGACGAGGATGACAGGAACGAGGCGGCCAACGATGGACATGTTGAGTGATACCTGTCGCCGAGATCCAGTCCATGGGCGCCACCGCCGTGGCCAAATCTTACAGTCCAGCTCCAGGGAGGCCAGCCGCTGAGCTCCAGATGGGCTTGGAGATCTCGGTAGTTCAGCCAAGCATAGCACAGGCTGCACACGAGGTAGCAACACATGAAGTCCTCCGCGCTCCATTAGCAAAACCTCCCCGGACCATATGATCATGCTCTTCCGCTCGTCACTGGGCGGGGGCATGGGCACGCCGCCATCGATGGTGAGCTGAAGGAAGATGGACGGGGCAATATTCATCACCAAACGTTGAAGACCTTCGCCTTTGGCATGATAGTCCTTTCTTACGCCCAACATCCACATCGTGACCTTTCGCCTCTGAACCTCTGCGATGTCCTGGTACTCCATCGTCTTGAGGATGCCCCGTTCTAAACTGTCCCCGGCCAGCAGCCCCCGCCCCCCGTCGGAGGCCCAGACCGCCGGGGTCGGCGGGGGCACCTCGAGCTCCGAGGAGTCCTTCAATTTGAGCTTAGGGGCGGCCATGGCCGACTGAAACCGGCCTTCAGTCGACCGCGCCAGTGGCCCAAACAGCAGCGCAGGCATCGAGAGGAGGAAGTGCCCCAAACAGCCTGCCTCTGTCCTGGGGCTCGGCAGGGAAGAACTCCTCGCCGTCATAGGCAGTCGCAGCTGCAGTAAACTCAGACCCCCAATCAATCTGCGAAGTGATTCCAGCGCGCTGACCTCGAAAGATTATCACCTCCTACAGAAGATAGCACAAGACCCCGCGCTGGGTAGCGCTCGGGGGGCCGCTTGGCTTCACGACCCAGCTGCGCGCGTAGTGATTGCCGAGGCCCGTCACCGCCGCGAGCAGCCAGGAGAGCTCCTCAGACGTTGCCTCTGCCAGCTCATGACCGTCCTCAAGAAAGTCTCTGCGACGTAGAAGAGCGGCCAGAACGCAAAACACGATCGGAAGGGCTAAGCGCTCTTGGCGCTCTCTCCGACCGTTCGTTGGTGGAGGCGGTTCATCACGTTCAGCGCTAAGAGGAGTAGCAACGTCGACATCGGAAATGCATGGAAGAGCCGTGTGTGACCAAAACATATCGAAGACGTCGTGGACTGAAGCCGGTAAGATAGCTCTCGCACACTCGGTGGGTGTGCGTGTAGGAGCCGGGTAGGCCATGGCACTGCAACCGAGCATACATCGGCGAATTCTCCTGGTGCGTGACGGCGCGGATCAACTTCAGCAAGGTGACGTCGAAGTTCTCAACGACAGAACCAGATGACATCTGAATCAAGGAGACGATGGAATTAAACGGGCCACCCTTTGCGTCTGTCCTGATGTGGGGCCTGTCTTCACGCGCGTCATCAACCTCATCAGAGACGAGAGAGGGGGGCTCTGAAGACGCTGTCACTCCAGAGTCGTCCATCGCATCAGTCTCCGAGGGCGCGCCAATTGCGATGGGCTCGATCACTCCCAGGATCCCCCTCTGCCCCGGCCTTTGGGCTTGCCCTTGGGCCTGCCAGACTTCCACTTGACCGACTTCCCCGTGAACTTGCCCCTCTGTGACTTGCCCCTGCTCGTCCCCTTGACCGACTTGGGCTGGCTCTGCTGCTGCTGAGACGGGACTGGCCCCGACGACCGCGGCGATGGGGGGTCCTCCGCCAGGTTGACGCGGTTGTTGGCGTGAACTCGCCTCGCTGGCGATGCAGGTCGTCCGCCATCGCCGGCGGGGGGCCGCAGGAACGGCCGCCTGTCGGGGCCTGGGCTGACGGCTCCGCGAGGGGCGTCGGGGGGCGACCCAGGCGTCGCCGCGGGGGCGGACCGCGCCGCCTGGGGGCGGCTCGCCCTCCCTGCCGAGGCCGCTCCGCGCGGGGCCTGCACCGCTGTGGCGCCGCGCCCTGCCCTGGCCTTGGCCGCTGCGCGCCGCCGATCCGCTCGCCAACGAGCCTTCCTGGAGGCCCGCTCGCGCTCGACCAAGGAGTTGAACTTCTGGGGGCCCAACTTCGACGGGTATTTGCCATGATCGTGAGGTGGCCTCTGAGAGGAGGGGCGCCCTGGGCTGTCCGCTCGCCTCTCGGCCTGAACCCTAGCCGGCCCCGCCTCCCCCCTTCTTGGCCTTGGTCACCCTCTCCGCCAGGCCGTGCAACTGCCTGCGCTTGCGCACCGCGTCGTGCACCTCCTCCTGACGAGCCAGCCCGACCCTGTGATCGTCGCGCAGCTCGCGATGCCGGGCCACCTGCCAGTGCCCGTCCTTGGTCGCCTGCTCCATCGCCCTCAGCCCCTGCATCAAGGTCCCCCAGGTGGTCCAGTTCCCCTCCCAAGAGGGCATCCAGGCACTCGCCCACCGCCCTCATCTCGCGCACGTTTCTTACACCCATCTCGCTTTGAGGATGGTGGCCGTGCCACGCGCTGGTGATGTACTGCGCCACGTTGGCTGCCAGTTCGCCCAGGCTCTGATCTGGGTCCGCCCCCCCGCGCCGCGCAAGATAGCGCTTGATCTGCTCCATCCCGCTGGAGAGCAGAGCGCCTGGCAAATCCCGAACGAGATGAGCTATCCTGCGGCCTGCATCGACGCGTGGGGCGCCGTCAAAACTCGACTCGCCAGAGTTGCTACCGTCCGAGCCCCTCCTCCTGCGGCTGGGGTTGCGGGGGCTCTGACGCCTGCCGGCCAACGCTGCTTCCGCTCGGTCCGAGAGCGCCTCGCCCGCGCTCCTCCTCTGCTGGAGGCGCCGCTTCAGCTCGGTGACCTTTCGCTGCAAGTCCTGCGCTGACGGCGGGGCGGAGCTGTCGCCAGCCGCGGCGGGGCCCCCACGCGCGCCGCCGCCAGCAGCAGCGGGGGCAGGCGGCAGGGCGGGCAAGCCTCCAGCGCCAGCATGGCCGGGCTGAGGCTGCGCCTGCCGCGGCGCCCAAGGCTCGGAGAGGCCAGAGGGAGATCGCATCCGATACGTCTCCAAGTGCAGCACGGTTCGCTGAGGCCACTGCGCTAGGCCAGTGCACACCCCGGCCTGCTGGTTGCAGAGATGCAGCACCGCGCCTCCGAGGCTGGTGAAGCTGCCCGCCAGCATTGGACTCATCGCCGTGTTGCTGCAGCCGAGGAAGACCACCTCCGCGAAGCACCCCAATCCATCACCTGGCCATGCGCTCTGAATCTGGAAGAGCGCCGTCCCGGCAGCCGACCCGAAATGACCCAGCGTCACTCCTTCCAGCACGCCGCCTGGGGCGAGCCCGAGCCTCTGGTAGGCCATCGGGGCCGACGGCCCGTGCACCCAGGGCCCAGCACCACCTGAGGGTGCCCCCAGGTAGTAGCTGGAGCCAGGCTCCGCTGCGGTGCCTCCAGCGGCTTGCACCCAGCCGAGCAGCCCGCCGCAGCCAGGCACTGCTCCAGGAGCCGCGCCTTCTCCCAGCGCGCCGCCTGCGCCTGCAAGCCACGGTCCTGCGCCGCCTCCACGGCCCACGCCAGGCGCGCCGCCTCCCAGGCCAGGCACGGGAGCGCCTCCGACTGCGGCGCCGGCGGGGGGCGCGCCCACGGCGCCCGCGGCCCCACCGCCCCACGCAGGTGGAGCGAGCCCGCCTGGAGCTGAGCAGCTGAACCAGCACTTCCAGCAGCGCGTGCCCCCAGCGGGGGCCCGCCGACTGCCAGGGCACCGCAGCCGCCCCCGCCGCCGACAGGAGCTCCTCCAGCAACGCATCCAGCGGCAGCTCCGCCTGCGGCTGCGCCTCCGCCAGGACCAGGTCCTCCTCTCCTCTGGCGCCTGCAACTCCCGCGGCTGGGGGACCCTCAGCTCCAGCTGCGCCCGCGGCCGCAGCTGCCGCGCCCGCCGCAGCACCAGGAGCGGCTGCTCCAGCAGCGCCTGCTCGCGGCGGCCGACGCCTCACTGGGACACCAGCAGGCGGCGGCACAGCAGCTCCAGGTGGCGCTCCCGCGGGCAGGCCACCAGGAGCACCTGCAGCTCCGGTCGCGCCAGCACCGCCTCCAGCGGCAGCCGCCGCCGCTGCCGCCGCGCCCCGCGGCCCCCGTCCTGGGGCGGCCTGGCCCTTCGCCTTGCCCTTGGCCTTGGGGCGGGGCGCGGGCACGGCAGGCGGGCGGGGGAGCGCAGCCGCCGCCCCCGCAGGGAGGGCAAGGAAACCTCCTGCCCCCGCGGCGCCGCCGCCGCCGAGGTCTCTGGCGCCTGGAGCCGCCATCACGGCTACATCGCTGCCAGCGCCGCGCTGGCGGCCTCCGAGGCGCGCGAACTCCGCACCTCTTTAGAAGAGAAACTGCGGCGAGGCGGCGGAGCAGCAGCGATCACACGGGGCGCAATCGACACGAAACAATCCACATGATCAATGAGTGTCTCTTACCTGCTTGCGGCCCATTCGGCACTTATGTCCTAGACCCTCGATGCCCGCCCTCTTCGTCTTCGATCGGACCCCCTTGGGGGTATAGATCTGTCTTACCTGCAACGTGTACTTCGTGCAGCCCCTAATGCAGTGGAAGAGAGGACGGATGGAAGGAAGGGACAAAGGGGAGGGAGGAGGATGGAGCACGAGATAGAGAGCAGCAGGAGGGGGGCTAGGAGCAGAAAACATGTGGCGGAACCAGACGGGCAGATCGGGCGGGTAGACCCTAACGGGTTGTTCGGGAAGACGGGCCCAGGCGGCCAGGTCGAGCAGGAGGGTTCCTGAAGCGTGCGTCCAGCATTAATCGCTAGGATGTCCGGAGCGATAGCGTGATTCCCAAATGAGTCGATCCACCATGAGAAAATTATTCCTGAGTGTCGAGGGCGCGACGCCTGAATGAATTTCGAGGAAGTCCCACGCGAGAGCGCGATTCCTATGTGACATGTGAGGACATCCCGCGAGAACGCGATTTGGGAATACGTTGTGAGGAAAGATAAAGCGGGAGACGCTGTTGTTGCAAACTGGGGGCCAACAACCTAAGTCTGAGACCCAATATTTTCCCTGATTAAAAAACAGGGTACGAACCCTGGGAAAAGCACTTCAATTTAAAAAACATGTGCCCCGGAGGGGGGGCATACACTACATATTCTTCAGTAGTAAGAACAACAACAACAATTACAACAACACTAATACTAACACTAACACTAACACTAACACTAACAACACGAGCACGAACAAAAACGACAACGCAAACAACAACACCAACAACATCAACACCACCAACAACAACACCGACAAAAACAATAACATCAACACCAACACCAACATCAGCAACAACACCAACAACAACGACAACAACAACATCAACAACAGCAACAACAGCGCCATCAACAACAAACACCTTAATACTGTTTGCTCTTATCTGCTCGCGCACCATTCAACACGTATATCCCACACCCTCGATACCCGTCCTCTTCGTCTTCGGTCGTACCCCCTTGGGGGTATATCTTTCTTACCTACAACGTGTATGTCATGCAGCCCCTGAAACAGGGAAGAGAGGACGGATGGAAGGAAGGGACAAGGGGGAGGGAGGAGGATGGAGCACGAGAGAGAGAGAGAGAAGCAGGAAAGGGCTAGGAGCAGAAAACACGTGGCGGAACCAGACGGGCAGATCGGGCGGGTAGACCCTATCAGGCAGGTCGGGAAGGCAGGCCCAGGCGGCCAGATCGAGCAGGAGGGTTGCTGAAACGTGCGTCCTACATTAACCGCGAGTCTCGAGCGATAGCGCGATTCCAAAGAAACTCGTGAGATAGGCCAAAGAGAGAGCGTGATTCCTGAGTGTCGAGGGCGCGGCGACTGAATGAATTGCGAAGAAGTCGAAGTCCCACGCGAGAGCGCGATGTCTGCTTAAATTGAGAAAATCCTGCGCGAAAGCGCGATTTGGGAATAACTTGAGGAACTATCAGGCGGGAACCGTTGTTGTTGTAACTCGGGGGCCAGGGGCCAATTTGGTGACCCCTCGCTTCCCCTTGTAACAAACAAGGTGCGAGCCCAGGGAAGGGCACTTTAATTGAAAAAACAATGTGCCCCGCAGGGGAAGGATCAACACATATGGTTCTTCTTCAGTAGTGAGTATCCAGCAGCAACAACAATAACATCAACAATAACAACATGAGCAACAATAACAACAGCACTACCACCAACAGCAACAACAACAGCAACAACAACTGCAATAGCAACAACATCAACAGCAACAACACCAACAGCAACAACAGCAGCAGCAACAACACCGCCACCACCACCACCACCACCACCAACAACAACAACAACAACAACAACAACAACGACAACAACAACGACAACAACATTGATACGAAAAACGACGACCGAGAAGAGGCATCGGTTGAACAGGGACCGACCGTCCCGGCATTCCTATCGGCCTATCACGACATGTTCTTAGAACCCCAAGATGTTCTGAAAACAGAAACAGTGTTCGTAAAACGTAAACCCGAGATGGTCAAACAGGACAGTCCCAGCCAGCCAGACGTGTTCTGAGAACATGTCGTGCAGACCACAAATCGGCGGTGGACAAACATCCTTTTAGTAGACCTTCCCTTAGTGGCAACGGCCTGGGGCCGAAATCGACGGACCGGGACCCGCAAAAATGACGGCCGCGACGGCCTCTCGCGAACCGAAAACGGCCAATTCCTTAATCGACGTGTCAGGGCAGGAGGTCTAGCCACCTCCGAACAAAAGGTTCTCAGAACCTTCTTTGGTGGGCCTACACCCTGCGAAATGCTTAAGAAATCATGGGTTAAGAAATTCATGGTCTCAGAACTTGAATAAAAACACCCAGAATGTCTATTCAGATCTTAGGATCTGCATCGAAACGTTAAGAATGATCGAGACTCTGGCCGAAAAAGTAGGTTTTCTTAAGCATCGCCTAGGGTGTACAGGCGAGCCAGGACGCTTCGCCACTGCTCGAATCGGCGTGCGCGTGCAGTCGTCGTGCCACCACGGGGAGCGCCCGAATGCAGGAGCGCAGGGGCCCTCCTGCCCCTGGCCAGCCCAGGCCACGAGGAGACCGGCCCGATCAAAGCCTCTCGGGAAAGGGCCCCAAAACCAGCCCCCTCCCTCCTCCTCCTCCTCCTCCCCTCTCCTCCTCCTCCTCCTCCTCCCCTCCCCTCCTCCTCCTCCCCTCCTCCCTCCTCCTCCTCCCTCCCCCCTCCTCCTCCTCCCCCTCCTCCTCCCTCCTCCTCCCCTCCTCCTCCCCCCCTCCCCCCCTCCCCTCCCCCCCCTCCTCCCTCCTCCCTCCCCCCTCCTCCCCTCCTCCCCCTCCTCCTCCTCCTCCTCCTCCCCCTCGCCCCTCCTCCTCCTCCTCCCTCCTCCTCCTCCTCCTCCTCCTCCTCCCTCCTCCCTCCTCCCTCCTCCCCTCCTCCCTCCTCCTCCTCCTCCTCCTCCTCCTCCCCCTCCTCCCCCTCCCTCCCCTCCCCCTCCCCCCCCCCTCCCCCTCCCCCTCCCCCCTCCCCTCCTCCTCCCCCTCCCACTCCTCCCCCTCCCCCCTCCCCCCTCCTCCCCTCTCCTCCTCCCTCCTCCTCCTCCTCCTCCTCCTCCTCCTCCTCCTCCTCCTCGGGGAAGATTCGGGATCCACCACAAGTGGGGGTTGACCCTGAGGGGGGGCAAGAGTTTGATCCGTTGGTGCACCGAGCTGCCGCCAACAGATGCCCCCCGCATGTCCCAGCTATCGGCAACTGTCGGGAGCTGCCTGCGGCTGGGGGACATCTGTTCTGGGCGGTTCGGTGCAAGACCGATCGGACTCCCCCCCCCCCCCCCTGGGCCCCCCCCCCCCCCCCTTTGCGGGATCCCGAAAGATAAGTTGGGAATCTTTGAAATCTGGCGTTTCTGGAGGATGCCTCGGGCGCCGCGGCTTTCCCAAAGCGTTCCGGAACGCTCCGAAAGACTTCCGGAACGCTCTGGAACGGATTTTCCCTCGTCCTATCCCCGTCCAGCCGAAGCGGTCCTTATTTCAGCGCCTTGACCGTCGACATACAACTTCGTACGTCCGCGCGGATTTCTCGGAGACCCTTGTCTCTGGCCCAGACCGCCAGCACAGAGGCGCAGCCATCTTCGCACCCCCGCGGGTGAACTGAGATCGGCAGGCACTCAGGACTGAACCACACGTCTGATTGGCCCCTCTTCCGTGCCGCTTGTTGGATCGATCGGGGACCTTGGTGATGTCGTGCATCAGTCGCATTCCATCTGTCCCATCTCCTGCTTCTCTGGTCAATCTGCCAAATCTCCTCCTCATTCTCGCACTTCACCCCTCCCAGGACCTTCTTCCAGAGAATGATGAAGATCGGAGTGTTGAACGCGGTTGTGAAGCTGATCCCGTTCGCCATATGCACCTCTGGCAGCAAGGGAAGGAGAAGGACACGTAAGGCAAACAATTGGTGGGAGGCCCTGACGCTGCGAAAGGAGAAGCAATAGGAGAAGGCCACCCACCCACCATTCGAGGTTGCGACCTGGCGCTCGTGCATCCTTGAGCCCCACTTGGTACACGATGTCACGAGCAACGCCGCGAGCTGTTTCCCGCCCGCCCCCTGACCTCCTCCCTCAATTGGTGCGTGCACCCCGCTCCGCCATGCTCCTTCTACTGATCCCCCTCTCCCTTCCGCCCCCCTTCCTTCTTGGCCTTTGATCGTGCGTGGCCGTTCGTGTGCAAAGAGTGACACCGAGCCTTTCCGTCCAAACGGTCGATCGCGGGCAGGCAGGAGGAGATGACCCAGGACCGTCCGCAGCGTCGGGCATCGAGAAGGACATGACGAAGGGAAGCAGCGTACGTGAACCTCTCGAGGAATTACGAGGACGGGTGGGCCTGCCTCCTCCTCCTCCTCCTCCTCCTCCTCCTCCTCCTCCTCCCTCCCCACTCTTCCTCCTCCTCCTCCTCCTCCTCCTCCTCCTCCTCCTTCTCCTC